TTCTCTCTGTCTCTCTCTTTCATGTGTTCCAGCTTCCTCGATTCACAAGGATATTCCTGCAAGGACATTCCTCCTTAAGACCTGCAGCGCAGATATGAAAGAACTGTTTGCTCTGGGGTTTACTGCCTTTAACACAATATATGTTTAAACATAAAATAGTATCAAGATAAAATCCCAGCCTTGTCTGCCTAACTTAAACTGAAGGAGCCAAATTCCAGTCCTAGAAGGCCGAAGTCCAGCAAATTTCAAATGTGTCCTTGGTTCCACTCAGGTCAAACACCTAAAATAAACAGCTAAACTGCCTCCTCTGTATTCAGTTTAGTTGCACAAACTCCTCCATTTAACCCATTCATTTGTTTGAGGTGTGTTGAAGAGCGAAACATGTACAAGCTTCACTACAAGAGTTTTTAATTAATACTTGTGATTTTAACCTTTCAGAAATAATCCTAAAGGAAAAATATTCCCATAACAAAAAGGACACTCTTCTCTACCTAGAAGTTGATGTGTCATAATTTTAAAGCAGGAGATGACTTAATGTTCTCAAATGTGTCAAAAGGTCACCAGTCCTCCAGCAGATGTCGGTAAATATAATCTCTATTTCTTATGAGCGACAAAAATGTCAGATACAACACAAAAAAACTCTATACTTTTCTGAAAAATATGACAAAACTACTTATTCTCTTACTTTTTTTGCATGATTAGAACAACTGATGATCTTAAACAAAATACTCTAATATGCATTGAGCTAAATTCTATAAGATTTGTGTTTTGAAAGATAATTAAATGAAGTCATTTGGAAATGAAATCATTAACTTTTGCATTTTTTTATCTTATATTTGAAATTTTTTATATTAACGATACGATTCTGTAACATTTCAATGGTTTTGTACCATTAGACTTATTTTAAAAATTATTAAACTTGCAACAGCAGCTCCAAGTCCTTTTGTAACCCAGTGTCCTGCTGAAATATCTCAGTATTTGAAGCATATAAGGATTTCAAAGAGGCTCTAATGCAGCAGTGAGATTTGTCTGCAACCCCCTGCCCCCAAAAAACAATACACCAAAAATAGCAACAAGATAAGATAACAGGAGAACTTACATCTGAAGAAACTGAATTTAAGTAAACTTAATGGAAAAAAGTTTGTTTTTTCCATTAAGGAAATCTAAGGAAATTGAGGGTTTTAGATAGTGGCACACTGTTTCACCAAGCTTTTTAACACTGACGCTATTTACCTGTAGTTATATATGGAAAAATCATGCATTGTCTCTTTCCTGACAAAAAAAAGCCAAATTAGTAAGTGATTGTCAACATACAACAGATATAGGTAAAATATATATATATATATATATATATATATATATATATATATATATATATATATATATAGTTATTATGCAAAGTAGTAATATCACACTGCAAAAATCATCTAGAAATAAAAAAAAAATATCTTAAATTAAGTGTATTTACCCTTAATTTAAGCAGATAAATAAGATGATTTGCCAATGGAATGAGTATTTTTACTCTTAAAATTAGATAATTAGTTAATATGCACTTGAAATAAGACAAAGCAAATTTTTTTTCTTATTTTAAATGTAAATTGTCCAGTTCCATTGGCAAAGTATTCCACTTACTTTAACACTTACTGTAACTTCTCATTTGCTTAATTCAAGCAAAAATTACTCATTTAGATTTCCATTTTTTGCAGTGCAGCAAAAAGTGTAATTTTTTTTAGACGGGTTAAGTATTTTATTGATGCTACTATTGGTTTACAGGGCATTGATACTGAATAACTACATAACATTTTCTATAGTTCACAGCACCACATTATTTAAATGCAGTGTAGGAAAAAGAATCTATATGATATTTTTGCAAAAGCTGTTCAATCATATTGCTGTTTTTTTAAAAGAAATTGTTTGTTTGTGTTAAGGGTAAATATATGACTCATATTGGACCTTTTTTCTACACTAAATACGCCTAAAATCTCAATTAGGAGGTCAACCAAACAGCTGACCTCAAGGTCTTCTGGATTTGCTGGCAGGCTTATGGGGAATGTTGGTTTTGTGAAAAGGTCTCAGTGAAAATCAAATAAAAATGTGCAGGGCGCAGCTGTGAGAAAACAATCTAAACCTTTTCGATGAGGAAAATGTGTCAAAGGTTCAGACAGGCAGCTTATTTTTGATCCAAAGTCTGCTGACCAATTTCTTTTCTTTTGGTCTAATTAAAGAGACCTTTTTCCAAATCAAAGGCCACCACATATAGAACCCCATAAACGGAGGAAAGAAAGTCTGCAGTCACCATGAGAGATTGATTAGGCTCAAACCTGAGCTTAATAGGACTGTGGTCTGCTCAGCTGTGCTTCTACAACCTGTGTGTATGAACATCCTGGCATAAGCAAAATACAGCCGCCGATCAATAACACAAGTAGCTGTTTACAACCTGGAAATAACAGCTCCGCGTTCAGCGCAAGGATCTGCCCAACATCACAAGTGATACTGACACAGATGAGTCAGACTGACTGAAGCAACATGCTCTACATGTGCTATGAAGAAGGAGAGGAAATGGATCCAAATCTGTTCCGCAGATTTAAAGTGTCCCCAGAAAGCATCTTCTCAAACCGAGCCAACCCTGATTTAATGAAAAAACACACAGATGGGAATAATGCTGCTGTATCCACATAGAGCTGCAGTCCCTTGGGAGTGCACAGCATGTTGCTGACGGGTCTCTCAGAACCTCTACACCCCCACAGCCGCCCAATCAATTTCTCCCTCCATGACAAAATGACCCGCCCAATAAATCTGCCAATCTGCCCAAACCCCAACAGGCCAGTTCATTATCCGAACCAAGAGGCACACGACAAAAACACCCACACCCACAGAGGTAGCTGCACTGTTTTCCAGAGTCTCTACCTAAAAATAAATCCTCTTTGGGTCGAGTCTTTCCTGCAATCCATCTTGGTTTGTTAATTCTGGACGTGAAAGACCAAAGCTAAATTTGACTTGGGAATTAAAGTGGCAGTTTTGGCAGGAAGTTCCCTCAAAACCAGATGTCAAAGGGAGTCATTTTCACCAGCCTGAATGTGGTGAAGAAAAAAAAACTGGGTTTGGAATGGGTAAGAGTTTTAAAAAACAGAGAGAAGGAAGAGGCCACAGAAGATTTTATATTTAAAACACGATCTAAATAAAAACAGAAACCTAGAATCAGAGAAGGACTGCATCACAGTGATAACCATGTGAATTTGAATAGATAAGAAAAGGAAATACACTGGCTAAGAATAAGAAATCCATCCATCCATCCATCCGTCCACAATTCTTCCATCCATCCATCCATCCATCCATCCATCCATCCATCCATCCATCCATCCATC